GCTCCCTCCTAATTCCCGATTCATGGCACATTTCTCTCGGAGGAACCAAGAGGAGGAGCCATCGTTTAAAGCGCCAAAACCGGAAACCTTTCACACATATTTTGCAGCTCCCAGCAGGTGGCTGGAGAAGCAAAGGGAAGGCATGCCGCCCCCCATCGGTCTTCCCTTCCCCAGCCACTGTTCCCCTCCCTGGGTAGGCTTGAGGTTGGAGGGAGCAGAGAAAGAAAGCAGCTTCAACTTTAAATGCATTCTCAAAGACCCCCACGTACAAATATCGTTGGATAAATAAATATCATTATCAATATCTGTTTTGAAGCCCATTTGTTTTTATTTTTGGCAGTCTCATTTAAGAACATAACATAAGAACATAAGAGATGCCAATGTTGGATCAGGCCAAAGGCCCATCCAGTCCAACACTCTGTATCACACAGTGGCCAGAAATACCAGGTGCCATCAGGAGGTCCACCAGTGGGGCCAGGACATTAGGAGCCCTCCCACGGTTGCCCGCCCCAAGCACCAAGAAGACAGAGCATCACTTGCCCCAGAGCCCCTATCTATACCTTGTGACTAATAGCCACTGATGGACCTCTGCTCCATATGCTTATCTAATTCCCTTTTGAAGCCGTCCATGCTTGTAGCCGCCACCACTTCCTGTGGCAGTGGATTCCAAGTGTTAATCACTCTTTGGGTGAAGAAGTACTTCCTCTTATCTGTTCTAACCCGACCGCTCAGCAATTTCATGGAGTGCCCACGAGTTCTTGTATCGTGAGAGAGGGAGAAAAGTACCTCTTTCTCTACCTGCTCTTTCCCATGCATTTAATGTTAATAACAAGCAAAACTGCATCTTTTCCAATAAAAACATATGTAACACTTGTTCATGTATTGTGGCTCTCAAACATCTGATGTCTATTCTATGTGGCTCTTATGTTAGGCAAGTTTGACCGTCCCTGTACTAGTTCCTAATAAAGTTTGGCCCAGTGATAAAGGGTAGATCCATTACTTCTTATTAGATACAGTCAAGCTTTTGTTCTGATAAATAATTTTTAAAAGGCTTCTTCTCCCCATTAGATACTTGCATGTTAGGGTTTCCAACTCTGGGGTGGGAAATACCTGGAGATTTGGGGGTGGAGCCTGGGGAGGGAAGGGATCTGCGTGGGGTACAGTGCAACAGAGTCCACCTTCTAAAGCAGCCGTTTCCCCCAGGGGGAACTGATGCCTGTAGTCCGGAGATCAGTTATAATTCTGTGAGATCTCCAGGCCCCACCTGGAGATTGGTAACCCTCCTTGTCTGTTGTGTACATATGGCACATTCACACAGGCTGAAGTGAATTCAAGTTCAGTTGAATGTGGACTGCAGCCCACCAATCCTAGATCAGTCAATATATCAGTGGGGATGCATGTCTGCCTGCTCTTTGTAATGACACCTGATAGGGCCAATGCTCCCTCTAAGCTGTGGAGTCTTGTGAGCAAAAATCCTACTTTGTGAGCTACTGGCATTAAAGCTGTGAGTGAGCAACTTGGCTACTGCATCAGTTAGTTTGCTCTGGAGCCATCCTTCCTGAGCTGAGACAAAGATGTGTGAGCTGGAGGCTAAAATACTGTGAGCTAGCTCACACTGACTCCGCTTAGAGGGAACACTGGCCAGGGCTATTCTGAATTCACCATAGTGCACAATGTCATTGAAATACCTGTTGTGTTGGAAGAGTGGGTTCACCCACATGCATCTTTTCCCATAAAAGTTAAGCTGAGCCCCAGCTTTATCCATGAATGGGAAAGATACAGGATGATCAATATGGCCATTTCTGACATGGATACTCGGGCCCTAAAGGCTTTAAGAAAGAAAGATTCAGAGGCAGTCAGCATCTGGATCCTGGTGTTAGGAAGCAACATCAAAGGAGGGCTTTGGCCTCTAGGTCCTGTTCTTTTGTCTGCCAAGGCAACTGGTTGGCCACTGTGTGAAAGAGGGTGCTGGACTAGATGGTCCACTGCTCTGATCCAGCAGCACTCTGTTCATGTTCTTAAAAGAGACAGAAAGAGCCTGTCAGCGTAGAACCTTTCCAGAGCCTTTGCAACAGCACAGGATTCTGGTCAAACCAGTGTTATAGTAAAAGCCAAAACAAGCCCCAGGAACTGAGAACAGTGTTGCTGACCTTGATGTGTGAAGTTTTGGTATGAGTGCTGGGGGCAGGGCAGGGCATCTGTTTGGAGGGAGCCCTGTTCAGCAACAGCTGGAAGTATTTTTAAAGATCTTTTGAACTATTGCCTTTGTTCCCATCGTACTTTCTCAGTCTAACTCAACTTGCAGGGTTGTCACAACTATAAAACTATGAGGGAAGGGAGAGAGCCGTCTGCCCCCCCCCCAATCCTTGAAGAAGGGCAGGATAAAAACATGTAGATTAATCCTAATCAAGTTGGGACAATTTGCTTCAAACTGTGGTTATGATGGGAATCATGGCTAGAGTTAACCACTGGTTAAAGCCATTGCAGGTATACTTAAGGGCACTGGGGAAGAGTAGGGGGTGTTACAACAAAATGGGGAGTGCAAGATCCTACACCCCATTCCTGATCTCAAAACTGGGGGTAAGAATTTGGGAAGCCTATGTCTGCACCAGACCAGACCAGTGTGAATGCTAACCTACGCACGCTGTTATTGCCTTCTTCTAGAAAGTCTCCATATATCCCAGCATTCTCAGGTGTTTGTTCTGGAAATACTAACCTTCTGATCTGATGTTTCAGGCATGGGAATCAGATAATTACGCTGCAGCATGGAAGGCAAAGGGCCTTATCGTATCTATGACCCTGGTGGGGGAACACAGGAGGAAGCAGCTGCTGCCTTTGAACGTCTGGTGGAAGAAAATACCCGGCTGAGGGAAAAGATGCAAGGGATAAAGTCGCTAGGTAACGGTGAGGTTGGAAGCTGAGTGACTGCAAATAGTTCTCGTTTTTCTTGACTTTGGAATTTCAGCAACGGCTGAACCATCGCTTTATTGATGTGGAGCAGTAATACCCCTTCCTCAAACCCTTGTGGCAATGTTGTAGTGAAGTAAGAATAAACAAAAGGGATTTTAAAATCCTATTAGTCTAGATAATTCTCATCTAAGCATTTATTGGTGCATTAAAGCCTTGGTTTGCATGTCCTGCGTATTATGTGTTGCACCATCAAAAAGCCTTAAGCCTAAGGGGATGCTTGGTATAAGACTTCTGCCTGTGGAGCTTGCACACTTCCAGGTTACCTCCCAGGTAGCTACAGGTCCTGCAAATACCCAAAGGGTGCCTAGGGTAAGAATATTTTAAATGTCAGCAGCATCCACACAGAAAGGTATATGCATTAGGGCTTTTGGAAAGTGCCACGTATCAGAGGCAATGTAGCACCTTAAATGGTGTAACATCACATAGTGGACAGTTTTCTCTTTGTAGTCAGAGAACCACTTACAACCCTTTTCGAATAAATACGAGTAACCCAAAAGTGAGTTCTGTGTACCTCTAAAGCTTTCACCCGTGCATACTAAGACTCAGTTGTACTATCTCTGATTTGCTTTTCATTTTGATCTTTTTCATGTTGGAATTTAATTCTGTCTTTTTTAAAAGAAATGTAATCCATATATTCATATGTGAGTTTTCATACCTAAGCATCTCTGAAAATATTTGCTTTAAATCTGAGCTGTGGGGGGTGGCGGCTGATGTTCTTGTCCACATGAAGTACAGGGTTAAAAGGTTGCTATTATAGGTAGCCAGTTTGGTGTAGTGGTTAAGTGCGCAGACTCTAATCTGGGAGAACCGGGTTTGATTCCCCATTCCTCCACTTGCACCTGCTGGATGACCTTGGGCAAGCCATAGTTCTGATAAGAGCTGTTCTTGAAAAAGAGCAGTTTCTGCCAGAGCTCTCTCAGCCCCACCTACCTCACAGGGTGTCTGTTGTGGGGAGGGGAAGGGAAAGGAGTTTGTAAGCCGCTCTGAGACACCTTTGGGTAGTGAAGGGCGGGGTATAAACCCAATCTCTTCTTCTTCTTCTTTTCTTATACCAGCTTCATAGCTGATGATTTTCTTACATGGAGATACATACATGCATTAGTTTTATTCAAACACTTGCAGCAAAACAAATTTTTGCACATCGCTTCATGGGCAGGGTTGTATGTATTGCTGCTTTCCCCCCTGCAACAGAAAATGTGTCTCCATGAATAACAAAATATCATGGATGGAGTAGCATCAAAGTTCAGTGGGTAACTGAACTCCAGTTCTTGGATAGCGTGTTGATTGACCTGGGGACAACTGCGTACTAGATATGTCACTGGAAACAAAGGTCATGTATGCATACAAGGGAGCTTTAAGTCATACCTTTGCTGTTTTGTCAGGGGAACTACTGGAAGAGTCTCAGCTGGAAGCCTCAAGGCTACGACAGAAGGTGGAGAGTTTAGTGAAGGACAATGAAATGCTGAGATCTACTTCATCTCTGGACAAACTTGCCGAAAGAGCAGGTATAAAGGAACTAGCTAGTGAAATCAGCCGATATAAATCCTTGAGTAGAACTGGACTTGTGTGTGTGTGTGTGTGGTGAATATATTGCATTGGAGGGGCGGGTGCCTTCAGTGATGCCAGAGGTCATTTCGGGGGGGAACGCGGGGGAACGCAGTTCCCCCGGGTGAGGTGCAGGGTGGCGGGGCACATGACAAATCCCCGCCCCCTGCTTCCGGCCACCCCGCTTCCAGCCCTCATTCAGCCAGGAGGAGGCAGGAGAAGAGGGAGGGTAAGTTGCTTCCTCCCTGCCTCTCCCCACCCCTGCCTGCCTGGGGCCAGGGAGGGCCTTGGTGGGGCTTCCTTGCACTCCCGCTGGCCTTGCAGGTCCACCGCCGGGCCCCTGATGTCAGGGGGTGTGGCATATGCTAATGAGTTATGCTAATGAGTTCCCCTAGCTCTTTTTCTACGAAATGACCCCTGAGTGATGCCATAGGCTGTCTTGACTGGAGAGATTAGGAGGGCTTAAAAAATGTTTTTGTATGAAGAAGAAGCCACTGTAACTTGACAGCTTGGATGAAGTCACGGGCCACCCCCAAAGCTAGTCCAACAACTGAAAAACCGAGACTGCCTGTCTATTTTATTCCACAGGCATGTTGGCAGCAGTCTAAATCAAAACTATGTGATAATGCCATATTCTTATTACTAAGTTACCTGTTTGAATGCCCTTGAACAGTTTTATGTCTAAGGGTACAGGACTCCCAGGAGCTTAAAACGTGAACAGACAAATGGAATTTTTATCCAGCCCTTTCTCTGAGAAGCTTCCAGTGGCTTGTATTTTTCTCCCTTCTGAATGATGTCAACAAACCCGTGAGGTAGTTTAAGTTGCAACGGAGTGATTGGGCAAAAGTCATCTGCTGACTTCTTCTGAATTACTTCCAAGGACTGGTCAGTCTTTCTGCCTCACAAATGTTAGAGGACTGTGGACATAACTGGGGCAGAGACAGGTGTAGTATGACCTCCGGAAACAGCTTGACTTTCAACCTGTAACACGAATGCTGTCACCTGGAGGTTCTTGGGGGATGTGGTCATTATCACACCATCAGCATACCTGCCTTTAATTTAGTTTTTATAGCTCTAACTGAATAGACAACTGCCTGCTTTGAGGCTGGTAAAGGTAAAGGTTCCCTTGCTCGAAAGCCAGTCGAATCCGACTCTAGGGTTGCGGTGCTCATCTCCGTTTCAAAGCCGAAGAGCCAGCGCTGTCCAAAGACGTTTCCGTGGTCATGTGGCCGGCATGACTAAACACCAAGGCGCACGGAACGCTGTTACCTTCCCACCGAAGTGGTACCTATTTATCTACTTGCAATTTCTTGCTTTCGAACTGCTAGGTTGGCAGGA